AGGGCATTAAAATAGTTTAATTTAAATAATTCAAGAAAGTTATATGCACAATATTAGTTTTCTGTTTAAAATGTAAGAAATATTTTTACCTCTAAAATAAAGAAAATGGAGGGATCATAATTATCAAACAACAATTTACATCTGAATTCTTACTACACAGTAAGAATTATGTCTGTCATACTTCTAAGCACTTTATTATTTCATTTAATTATTGTTTCAATTCTGTAAAGTAGTTCTTATGAATATCTTCTTTTATCAGTGGTGAAATCAGGATACAGACAAGTTAAGTCATTTCAGCTAGTAAGTAGGAAAGCTAGTATCAAGTTTAGGTAGTGTGACTCCAAAGCCCAAAGTCTTAACTACGATACTGAGATCTTAGAATTCACAATTCCAGACTCAAAGGGAAAAAGAAGTGCCCAACAAAATGAATGAAACCCCACACTCATGGGGAGATTTCATATCAGGGCCAAGAGAAGACGTGAAAAATTTCCAAAGAAAACAGATTATATGTAAAAAAAAAAAAAAAAAAGAAAATCAGATGGCATCCAATAAAAATAGCAAGCTACGTGGCATTATAATTTGCCCTATTCCCACCCCCCCTTCTACAGTTCTGTGGTAGCCATGAAAACTAAGAGCCCACAATCATAGTGAAAAGCAGCAATAGGGGAGCCACTAAAGAGGACAGAAAAGGGTTGGAGCTCCTTAAAAGCCTCATTCCCAGAGAACTGTCATTATTTGACTTCATAGTTCCCTGAAATCTCCCACTTGCATAAATGCCTGACTGCAGCTCAGTGAGTGCAAAAAGCCTTTTCCTCAGGAGATTCATCGAAAACAATTAAAGGCAATTATTTAATGTTGTTACTGCCTGAGATGATGGATAACAACAGCCGGGGTAAACAATAGACTAGCCAAAGCATAAAAGGAAAAGCCTGGAAGCAAGATGTCCATAAGAGCTCTAACATATTCCTAGGAATCCAGAAAGCCATGCACATGCATAGGGCTGTGCACATGCTCAGAAAAGACCTGGAAAGGCCCTAACTTCTCACCTCTTGCTGGCCTTTAGACTCTGCGCATGCAGGAAGGAAAGGCTAAGGCAGAACTGGCAACTGCATGGCTGAGTGTTGAAGGCAGGCTCTAACATGTACCGAGTCCCTTGGCAAAGACTGGAAGACTTATTTGTTCCAGGCATTTAAGGAAATCTGTATCCATCATTAGCTAACCATTGAGCCAACCAAGACTTCAGTGGCCACACTTGACAAAGAATACAGACTCTACAGAGTTAGTTCAGAAAAGTCACTAAACAAACAACAATGAAAAACAGCAACAATAACACCACCCTGAGTAGGGGGAAGAATCTGATTTCCAGAACTATCACAGTATATTTTCAACAAAATATTGTGACATATACAATGAAACTAGAAAGTATGGTCCACACACAGGAAAAAAGCAATTAATAGAAACTGTCCCTGACACTGGACTTACCAGACAAAGACTTTAAATCACCTATTTCAAATATATTCAGTGAACTAAAGGAAACCATGCCTAAAGAATTAAAGGAAAGTATGAGAAGGATGTCTCACTAAATAGAGAATATCAATAAAAGAGATATAGATTATTAAAAAGACCGAAATGGAATGTCTGGAGTTGAAAAGTACAGTAACTGAAATGAAAGCAGTGTCTAGAGGGAAATTCATACCTGTAAATTCCAATATGAAAAAATAAGAACAATCTCAAATAAATAGCCTAACCTTCCACCTTGAGAGGAAAAGAGGAGCGAACTAAGTATAAAGCAAGCAGAAGAAAGGAAACATAAAGATCAGAGTGAACATTAACGGAGAATAGAAAAAAATAAAGAAAAATCAATGAAACTGAAGCTTGCTTCTTTGAAAAGATCAATAAAATTGACAAACTTTTGGCTAGACTGACCAATAAAATAGAAAGAAAAAAATCAAATTATTAATATCAGGAATGAAAGAGCAGACATTACCACTGACCTTCAGAAGGAAAAAAGGATTATAAAGTGACTATATCATGAACAGTTGTGTGCCAACAAATTAGATAATCAAGATGAAATGGGCCGGGCACGGTGGCTCACGCCTGTAATCCTAGCACTGTGGGAGGCTGAGGCGGGTGGATCGCTTGAGCTCAGGAGTTCAAGACCAGCCTGAGCAAGAGCGAGACCCCGTCTCTACTAAAAACAGAAAGAAATTAGCCAAACAACTAAAAATAGAAAAAATTAGCCAGGCATGGTGGCGTGTGCCTGTAGTCCCAGCTACTCGGGAGGCTGAGGCAGGAGGATCACTTGAGCCCAGGAGTCTGAGGTTGCTGTGAGCTGAGCTGATGCCATGGCTTTCTAGCCTGGGGAACAGAGTGAGACTCTGTCTCAAAAAAAAAAAAAAAAAAACCCCAAAACTACAGAGCAATATCTCTTATGACTACGGATATAAAAGTCTTCAACAAAATAATTAAAAAACCCTAATCCAGCAGGATAACCATGACCACATGAGATTTATGATAGGAATGCAAGGTTCATTCAGCATATAAAATTCAATCATGTAATATACCATATTTAATAAAGGACCAAAACCACATGAACATCTCAATCAATACACAAAAAGCATTTGACAAAATATTAATTTTTATCATAAAACACCCAACTAATTAGGAATAGAAGGAAACTTCCTGTACCTGACACCGTGATCAAGACTGCGTGGTACTGGCATAAGGACAGACAAACACGGCCCCGCAAGACCCCACCGGCCACGGAGGAAGCGCCGCGCCGCCCGGCAAGATGGCAGGGAAGGCGGCCACCCGGGCCACCACGGTCCTGCTGGTCACGGCCAACGTTGGCTCGCTCTTCGACAACCTAAGTGCTGCTGCCGGCAGGCCGGGCCCTCACCTGGCCCTGACCCCGACCCCGACCCCGGTCCCGGCCCGGCGCCCCGGACCCACAGACCTCACACCCCCAACCTGTGGACCCGAGCCCTGAACTCTGCCTGAGCCTGGGCCTTGAACCCCTGGGCCCCGGATCCCCAGACCCTGATCCTTACCCCTGAGCCTGAAACCCCAAACTCTGAGCTCTGGATCCCGGACCATGAACCCAGAGACCCTAAACCCCCAGACCCTGACCCTTGAACCCAGAACCCCAGACCCCTGCCCTGACCCTCAAGCCACAAACCCCAGTCCCCTGCCCTGATCTCAAGCCTGGAACCTGAAGACTGGGACCCTAAATCCCACAACCCCAGCCTCTAAACTCTGGCTGCTGAACCCTAACCCCAGAACCTTGCCTCTGAACCCCGTGTTCATATCCCAACAGGAAAACTCCAGTCCTTGAATCCCAGCTCTGACTCCTGTTCATGGTCCCTGGAACCCAGACCCCAGAAACACAGTCTGTGGGCATCAGACCCCAAACCCAGCCCCACCTCTGATTCCTGAACCCTGATCCCCAGACTCCTGGCTCTTGCCCTGTCTTCAACCCTGACCCTGAACCCTGGAACTGTGGCCTCAAACCTCTGTCCTGAGTCCCTGAACCCTGGAACATAATCACAGATCCTAACCCCAGAACTGACTCTGAACCCTGGCCTCCAAACTCCTGTCCCTAGTCCCTAAACCCTGAATTCTAACTCTAGAACCCCAGCCTTTAAACGTGGTCCCTTGCCCCCCAAACCCAATCTAGCCTGACCCTAAACCCTGAATCTCAACTTAAACCCCAATTGCTAGCCCTAAACCCCTGTCCTGGGCCCCTGAACCTGGACCCTACCCCCTAACTCCCCCAGCACCCTCTCCCAAACTCCTACCCCTGAATTCCAAACCTTAGCCCCTATGTCTGGGCCTTGAGCCCCAGGCCCTTGACCCCTGGTCCCCACACCCCAACTCCAGCTCCTGATTTCTGATCCTGGGCCCTCGACTCTGGGCCCCAGACTTTGGCCCCATATGCCTGGGTGCTTGCCTCTGTCTGTCTGTGGCTGACTGAGCAGGGCTCCTGGTGTAGGGTACCCTCATCTCACGCTGTAACTTAGTATCTTTTTAGTTCTTAAATAAGGGGAGTCTGTTGAAAGCCCAGAGGACTTTATATTTCTTGTATATTAAAGAAAAAGATGCAGAGAAGCTCTTCGAGGCCAGAAAAAGGATGCTGACTGCCTGAGGCCTCCACCTCCTAGGGCTGCCCCTACCCAATCCCCAGTTCCACCTAAACTGAGGTGGCGTCTCTAGGGAGACAGGGAGCCCAGGCCCAGGGTGCACCGGGAGCTCCCAGAGATAGGACGAGGCTGCCCTAGTTCAGTGTCTCAGCCATGGTGTCACCCGCTGTTGGTGCTTACACTGCTAACCCAAATAAAGTAGAATGCAGCTCCAAGTGGCACAGACGGAGCTGTGGAGCCACGTACTTCCCTTCTTTCCCTTCCCGAGGTGGACGGCTTGGTGCAGTGCCAGTGTTGTGAGGGATGTGTACCACCGATACAAGCACGGTTTAGATTTCAGAGAAGGATCTGTGTCTTTGCCAGCAGCAAGCATGGGTGCCATGTGTCATTAAGCTAAGTTCGGGCACAGGCTGGGTTTGGTTTTTATTAATAAAAGTAGGTGCTATTTTAAAAAAAAAAAAAGGACAAACAGATCAATGGAACAGAATTGAGGGTCTGGAAATAAATACTTACATTTTAAGCCAATTGAGTTTTGACAAGGGTGCCAGGACAACTCAGTGGGGTAAGGGTGATGGGATAACTGAATAGCCATGTGCCAAAGAATGAAGTTGAACCAATACTTAAAAGCTCATATAACAATTAATTTGAAATCGGATCCAAAATCAAAATGTAAGAACTAAAATTATAAAAACTCTTAGAAGAAAACATTGGTTTAGGTAATAGTTTCTTAGGTATGACAACAAAAGCACAAGCAAAAAAAGAAAAACGTGAAAAAACAGTCAAATTGGACATCATCAAAATTACAAACTTTAGTGCTCTAAAGGACCATATGTATATAAACACAGAGAAAGGACTGGTTTATACATGATTAACAGTGTTTATCTCAGGAAGACAGTGGGATTGAGGGATAAGAGAAAAGGGAAACTTGCATCTTTTTTTTTTTTTTTTGAGACAGGGTCTCACTCTGTTGCCCAAGTGAGAGTACAGTGGCATCATCAGAGCTCACAGCAACCTCAAACTCCTGGGCTTAAGTGATCCTCCTGCCTCAGCCTCCCGAGTAGCTGGGACTACAGGCACATGCCACCATATACAGTATGGCTTTGTATTTATGATTAAATGACACTATACTATAAGTATTGCACTGCAACTTGTTTTGTTGAACTTGTTTTGATTTTTGACATTCATATGTCCCAGAGATTTTTACTTGTCAGTTAATATTTATCTATTTTACTTTCTTTTAAGCATCTGTATTATATTCCATAACATGTCTATACTTAATTTATCTAACCATTTCCTATTAAAGGACATTTAACATAGGTTAGTTCTAAATTATTTTGAGACAGAGTCTTGCTCTGTTACCCCAACTAGAGTGCAGTGGCATCATCACAGCTCACTGCAACCTCAAACTCCTGGGCTCAAGCAATCCTCCTGCCTCAGCCTCCCGAGTAGCTGGGACTATAGGAGCGCACTGCCACGTCTGGCTCATTTTTCTATTTTTTGTAGAGATGGGGGTCTTGCTTTTGCTCAGGCTGGTCTTGAACTCATGTCCTCAAGCAATCCTCCCCCTCAGCCTCCAAGAGTGCTAGGATTATAGGTGTGAGCCACCACTCCTGGGTAGGTTTTTCCTTTCCTCCCTCCTTCCCTCCCTTCCCGCCCTTGTCCCTTCCTTCCCTCCTTCCATTTCTCCCTTTCTCCTTTTCTCTCTCTCTTTTTTTATTTATTCAGGATATTATGGGGGTACAAACATTTTGGTTAAATGTAACGCCTTTGCACCACCCAAACCAGGGCTACAAGCATGTCCCTCCCCCATACAGTGCGTTCCACTTCCATTAGTTGTCGGTTTACCCCCCCACACCCGCCCTGCGACTCGCACCCAATGAGTATTACTACCATGTGAACAACTTACTGTTGGTCAGCTAGTACCAGTTTGATGGCAAGTACCTGTGGTCTCACTATGTTGCCCAGGCTGGTCTGGAACTCCTGCCCTCAAGAGACCCTCCTGCCTCGGCCTCCCAAATGGCTGGGATTACAGGCATGAACCACCGCGCCTGGCCTGGTTCTAAATTTTTGCTCTTAAAATTTTATAATATCCCCCTCCTTCTCACCCCGTAACAAAAATTTATAATAAATGTAACCTTACGTATGCTCACATTTCCATAGAAAAGGAAAAGCAGTTGATTTGTTGGGTTGGAAAAAATTACTATTTTAAACCAATATGACTTACAACTGGTTTTATGACTTCATTTATAAAATTTAAGTCTTTAATGCATCTAGAATTTGTTCTTTTACATGCTACTAGATAGGAATCAAACTATATTTTAAAAGTTGATTTTCGGCTGGGTGCGGTGGCTCACGCCTGTAATCCTAGCACTCTGGGAGGCCGAGGCAGGCGGATTGTTTGAGTTCAGGAGTTCAAGACCAGCCTGAG